TTACGAAGATATTTTTTTCATTTGAACTATCAACCTATTTTAATCAGTTCCATATTAGATTTAGGATAGATTAAATAAGAATAATTGTTCTTTTACTTTTGAAACAACTTCTAATGAATGAGATTCCATAAACTATGTTCTTTTAACACTTCAAATAAAACTCCATTTTTAGTTAAAAATTGTAAGTGATTGAGTGGAATTGTACCGATCATAATGAATATTAATAATTCAAAAGAGGATTTTTACCTTTGAATATTCAATTGAATATTAAAATCATGTGTTTTATGAAAAAAATTGAAAATTGCATGAAGCTTTCAATAATTATAAAACGTTTTAATAGCCATTATCTTAAGAAGTACGAATAAGCTGCAAATACGATTTCAACAATATCTTCATTTTTCTGAAAATATTGGAATTAAGCTTATCAAACGAATAATTTTCTTAAGTAAGATAACTAATAGATATCTAAGAAAAATCTTGCTAATCTATCCTTATCTCCTTTAATCCATCTGGAAGAGAATTTACTGAAATTCATCATATTGAAACGATTAATTTATCTAGCATTTCAAAATAAGTGATTTTGAGCGTATAAAGAAATTATGTATAAAATAATCAAAAAAATATTTGAAGATCGATTGTATTTCCTAAAAGATTCTTAATTCTTTTGTTAGGGTAAATGTAGGTACAAGTTTCAGAATGTAAGATTTGGTTAAGCCTTGATCATAAATTCTATTAAATTCTTTTCATTTATGTTCTTGTTTGAGAATTTGAGAAAAAATAAAATATGTAAATTAAAATAAAATTAATTCTTCAAAGTTTATATTAAATATTAAATTAATAAATAATCCTTTTTCAAACTTAACTATCATTTACTAATAATAGAAATCAATCAAATACTAACAAATTTAGTATAATTCATGAATGCATTAATTACTATTAAAAGATCATACTTTTACAAAATGGTTAAAATAAATATAGAAAAGTTTAATCGAATTTCTCGAGAAATTTGATGAAGGTGATGTCTGCTACCATACTTTACTTACTGATCTTAAAGATAAATAATATTCTTAACATAATTAATAATAAAATCTTAATAATTGGAATTTATTGTAGAACCAACAAATAGATAAATTAGTGTATTACTTTCTAATCACAAGTTTAACTTTTAGTTAAAGAAAGGCTTAAATTGAATTCTTTGAAAGATTAAAGAATAAAGATAAAACTATCCACGCTATTAAATAATATTAAAATCAATTTAACTATCACCACTTAATTCTGAACAATATAACTTTAAAGTTTACTTTCTAGTGTGTCTTATTTTAATGATACTGGTTCATTATTCAATGTAAACCATTACTCCTCCAATATAAGTTCTGGTATTAATTATACCTCATTTTATCAAAAAAATACATTCCTTAATCATCTTTTTAATAATCTTCCTTCCTTTTTCTACAGAGTTTATTTAGACATCTATATCTCGCTAAGTAGTACTTCAATCTAATGTATTTTGCGATAGAATTTAATTGCCTTAAAAAAGGTTCTTTCTACATGAAATTCTCTATCATATAGTAACAAATAAAAGAGAATTCTATCTATGCTGATAACCTAGACAACATAGCTGTATCATTATAAATTCTTTAGATCTTACCATTCAATCAGAGTATTAAAACAATTTCAAACTTCCCAATTGGCGAGATCAGTAAATCTATAAACAACATGTTAATTTTATCAAACTTAATAAAAAGAATCTCGATAAACAAGATATTATTGATTTATCTGTTCAAAATCAAATTCTATGTTCAAGAACGGCATTTTTAAGTGAACTTTATGATTTAGAAGATTAATTCAATAATAAATATAACCAGTCAATTCATAGTAAATCTAGCAAGACTGTTTTGATATTGATTTATTGAGCTCACAGAATCATTAAATGAACTCATGTGTTAATTTGAGATCAAAAGATATGATTGTATGCTGTACAAGAATTAATTTAAAAAGTTAAAAATAAGCAGATTGTTGTGCAGAAAGAGGGTCTTAACATCTATGCCTAATCCAACCTATTTTCTTCCTATCCTCAATAATAATAATAATAACAATATACTCAAAATACTCAACCATTTTTATAAAAGTAGACTCAAAACAATATAAATAAGTCAGGATACATCAGACAATGATTAGCTTACTTATGATTAAATTTTCTTAAGCATACAGTAGTTTTAGAATCAATAAAGATATGCAATTAATACTCAATTATAAAAATTTACAAAATCATTAAAATCTAAAAGATGATGTTTGGTATACTTTCCTAGTGTTATTATACTTAGAAAATTAGTTTAGCCAAAGTAAAATATCATGGTAGTTGGTTTATTAAAAAGGTATATCATATCTAAAACAGAATGGGATAGATTACAAATAAAAGAAGATTGAGTAAATAATATTATGATATCTTATATATTATTTGCAAATACATATATATCTTCTATGTAGTTAATGCAATATAAATCAAGAAAGGATAATGCTATCCAAATTTCATTTTACCTCTCCCTATATGGATATTTCTACTAAACGAAGAGAATTTAGGATTAATCTTTATAAGCACCTCTAAGGATTCCTTAATCAACTTCTTTTGCTAAAATTTTAATTAAGCCTTTTATGATTTAACTTGTTAGTAGATTGATAATCAATTGGTGATGATAATAACATTCTATTAATTAGTTAAGATTGCGATTAATTAGTACCCTTGATAGAGATGGGTTAATGCAATTATAATAATCGACTTTGGAATATTCAGTAAAAAATTAAATGACAGTTAAATTTCAATTACGGTTTATTAATAATGATGTTCTGATTTTATCCATTGATAATTGATTATAATGACTTATAAATATCTAATTTCATTGCTCTTTGAATTCTTTATCACATCTTATAAAGATGCCTTAGATGGAAAAAAATACTTTTAAAATTAGTCATCGAAAAGTGTTAAAAGTTAAACTTCATTGCACAAAACTCTTCTTAATACAAGTTAAATTAATGACTCCAAGAATCAATCGTAATTATAATGTAAAATTAATAAAATGAAAATTTCAAATATCAATAAAATTATATGGGCTGTAAGAAAAATCTATTTTGATTTTCTTGTATTATTGTTAAGGATTTAAACCAATAAATCTAACTATTCTAGAATGATAATCAATAATCTCCTTCATAGAATGGTCGACAATACCTAAATGATTTGAATAGGTTTGTAAAACTTTATAAAAAAGAATCATACTTATACGAATTTTTTTTAATTGAGAGAAATAGTATCAATTCATGTTGGATATGTTTAATTTGAATGTGTTAGATGAAAATTGTATTGAACTGGATGTCTTGCTAAACGGAATATAAAATTTTTGAAATATATAAACAAGGGACAATGCCATTCAAAGATTCTTTGGGAATTAATAGTTCTTCATTTTTTCCATTTGATTATTATTATATAAAATATGTATAAAATTCTCATATCAATTGTTAGGAAGATTTATTCCTATTTTATACTTGTAAATTAATTTAATATAAGAGATTTTCTTTTTAAAGGTAAATCTTAGAGCTGCAGATATAACATAAGAACCTTGTTGTATATATATAAGAATTAAATTATTAGAAGCATTTTATACATTAAGTAGGATTGGATAATTAAAGCAGTATCGAATAAATGATTTTATTACTATATTTAATCATAATCTTAAGACAACATTATTTCATCAAGAATCGGTTAATTTAACATTAAAGAAACCAATAAAAATAAATTTTATGTTTTATAAAATAAACTTAATAATTTTAGTCCATTGATTTTTTATAACCTAAGAATAATCCAAGATTTAAGAAATTTCACTTTGTATATTACATATGTGGCTTCAAGAATAGTTGTAATTGTTAAAATTAGAATAAACATTTCTTAAAGTAATAATCTTTAGTACTCAAAATTAGACCTTTAATTGATGTATAGGCTATTCTCTTACTTTAAATATGATCGAATGTTCTCATCACTCGTAGACAATCCATAGTTCTGATTGACTTCTCTTAATATAGTGTTTTCATCCTCAGTCTCACTACATAAAGTAGTTGCAGCTCAAACTAATAATTCTGGTTGTGATAAAAGCGTTAGTCGTCAAATAATGGTATAACAAATTGTTTTAAGAGTACATCCTTAGCAAAATGCATATAAGATCATGGGTAATATGCAATTTCCTGTTTTGCTTAATTATTTTTACAATTAACTTCTGCTATTTAATTCAGAACAAGAATATCAAGAATGCTTTGGTTATTCAAAAAACTTGGTACATTTTGCTAATGG